TAAACGAACTTGGGAATGTTCGACGTTTTACTTATTTTTTCACACACACACATTTGCATTGGATAAGTGAAAGTTAACTCTTGCTATGTAAGTTTGAAGTCATTCATAGAGGTGATACATTGACCTCAGTTCTGAGCTTAACGGCAGACTATCTAACTGAGCTGTGTTTGACTTGTTGTCTGTAGTTGATTTTCTTTGTCTATGTGTTTGCTCGAGGACTAGCAACATGTTAAGTTTGGGGGTATTTGATTAGTGTGTTTTGTACACGGATTTTCTACAAATAAAGCTTCATTTGTATGCTTAATCTATTGATCACATGCTTAACAAAATGGTTTTGCTATATTTACATCATGGTTGATAACTTTGTTTACATTTCATAATTTGACACACAATTTTGCTACTGATTTTAACAATATTTAAAACAGATCAATGATCTCGATTTTTACATATCATGGAATATCGTCCATGATGTACAAAAAAATGCACTAGTAACTGAATTCTTAAAAAAAAAAAAAAGTAATGTTATCCATGGTAAAAACTACTCCTAATCATCCTACATGACACACATGACAATTTATTATTTCATGCAATAATGCGATAATATTTTATTGTTTCATGTATCATATAACAAATTGTGGTACATAAATCATGTAAGAAGACTATCGATAATTTTCACTATTAATAGCATTTTTCAAATAAATAAGCCCAAAAGAGAGGAAAAAAATAACTCCAATGGATATATACACTACATCCAAATTCCTCTCTCTCCTCTGTTTTCTCACTCTAAATTCTATTCTTTTTTCTGTAATAATTGGAACCTTTCTTTTTCTACCCTACTGTCACTTTTAACTCTTTGCCCCTCCATGGCCTCAAGTAAAATTACCAAACTATCCATACCAGTTACAATCTTACCCTTCATGTCCTCCACTTGCATGCTTACTTCTTTTAGGTCTAACTCTGCCCCTTCCTTACCCCCGCAGGTGACCACCACCCTACACTAAACCAACTTGCTCTCCTCCACCCCCGCAATCACCGTGGAATATCGGAGATGCATCTCCTCTTTCAACCAGTTCCGTCGAGTCTCCACCGCCTTCGAACTGGCCACGTTGACCGCCCTTTTGAAGGTGGGTTCTATTATAATCCAGCTTACTGTGAGGTGCTCCTCTAGATTTTCCATACATGTACCCTCCACACCTTTGAAAGTTACTGGCGCCGACACCATTTCTTTTAAGTTGAGAAGGTCGACTCTCAAGGGTGAACTCAAGAACCACAACGAAAGGGTTTTACTTTTTAATACTTTGGAGTAGACTAACTTTCCAGCGTAGTGAATATCAACCACTGATATTAGTTCTGGCTTTTCCATCAAACGTTCTGTTGACCCTAAAAAATAAACTCAACAGATACAGAACCCACTCTTGCCACGTCAAGCAATGATCCGACACTTTTCTACCGGAATTGAAGCGGTAATATGGTTGAATGGAACACGGGAAGTGCTTTCCGACAAGAGACACAACTGTTCAAGCTCCAGTCATTGGATTTCAACGGCTCTTGTGCTATCTACAAGAGCTCGATCGATTTCCCTAAAACGAGTATCTATTTTGTCATGGAATATGTGGAAGGGTAGATAAAAAAGGGAATCTCTTGTAATATGTTGTGATTTCAATATCGATTGTATTATT